CAGAGATTTTATTTCGCAGCGTCGCCAATCAAGTTTAAAATTGAAATTCTGGCACGATGTTGTCCGAAAATACAGCTGCCCAAACCGGAAGTCCGATAATTGTTTCGATTGTTCCACGTATTGCGCACTGAGCACTTTTACGTCCCCTTTTTAATACAGCGTTTTCAAAAATATTGCAAAATTTTTTGGGAGAAATTAGAGAACAATTTGAATTAAAAAAAAATTAAAAAATAAATCGTTTATATCAGTCTAGTGATGCATATTGACGGAACTAAAAACCGGTCGTTAAACGTAATTGGCGTGGGCGCGATAATTCTTGGGTCAAGAGAGTTAGGGAGAGCGGTCTGTGAGTAATGCTCCAAGACGAATATTAATAGCGCAGCTAATGGTCGATTCGGTTTTCTACAGACTACGGCTAATTGGCGAATTAGAGGCAATTTCCATGCGCCCGTCGGTACTAGGAGGGGGTCTTCCATTATAATAAAACTGCCAGAAGAAAAACGGATCGTAAATGGGTTTTCTTTCAGCTATTTATTTTAGAACCCGGTCGCAAATCGACGGTGTTGTCTGAGCACAGATCCGGGATTCCATTACACCGACGGTGCCATATGTGACGTTAAGTTCGGTTCAAAGGGTCGCGCCCCGCTCGAATTCCATTAAATTAATCCGACTAGAGACGTGTATTTAATGCCATTAAATACATTACGGCTGCTTGTCGTAGAAGTGTTCCCGTTCGCGCGGAAACCGCAAACCCCGCCGTTCGAGAAACGCGTTCCATCGAAATAATAAATTTTCACCCGCGGAATTCACACAGAACTCCCAGTTACCATCGTTTCCCCGACGGCACTTCTTTCGTCCCTTTTCCGCACAATTAAAACGCACAAAGGCAACCGGAAGAAAGGAAAGTCGAGCGGGAATTTTTCACCCCGACGAAGCTAGTAATTAAATTACGAAAAGTTAAGAGTATCAATGAGCCTGCTTCCCGACGCCTAATGATGATAATTAAATTTTCCTTTTCGACTCTTTTTTTTTTCATTTTCACAGAAATTTACATTTCGTTTCATATCCAAAAATTTAATTCACTCTCTCCGTTCATTACTTTATTGAAAATTACTTTCATCACAAAAAATACCTTATTTCTTTAATATATATACAATTAATTATTAACTGACCTCTGATTCCCGTTATTTACATACTTTTAGAAATGTTTTTTTACCAGGTTGTCTAGGGTTGGTAAATTTTTTTGCAATATCATCTCGCCCCTGCGTTAGCACTGCCTAAACACTCTTCCAACGTTAAAAACAATTATTTACCATTTTTTATTTATTTATTTATTTATTTATGTACATAGGACACAGCACAGGACGAACCCAATAAAAGCTGTGTCACTGAAAAGAATAAGAACAAAACAAAATAATAAAGACACAAAATAACATCAGTAGTGAACAGTAGTAAAAACAATAAAATAAAATAAGATAAGTAAAATAAACGATCAAAAATACTGATTGAAATTAAGGAAACATTCTATAAACAAGTAAAAAATAACAACAGTAAGGAGTTGCTGATTGTACTGTTAACAATCATACGGCATGCTCCCAACAGCAGTTAAGGTCGATTTTTTAAACGAGCTAATGGATTCATAAGCAAATATATCGATGGACAGACGATCGGCTGAACGAGCGGCACGCAACAATGGGGAATGTTGATAAGCATTAGTGCGGGTTGTAGGAGTGAAAAAGAGAAAATCATATCTCAACGTTCTGGGCGGAACATGTAAATTCACTAGAGACGTAAGCGAAGGCGAATTATAGATATTATGAATTAATTTATAGAATAGCAATACGTCACTAGCAAAACGTCGCTGAGTCAATCGCAGAAACCGAAAGGATTGGCACGCCGAGTCGTAGTCAACATAGGTGATATGAGACTTCCGGCATAAAAATTGAAGGAATCTCTTTTGGACTAGTTCTAATCTTTTCACGTACATGTCATATTTAGGATTCCAGATGACAGAACAATAATTTAAAACGCTGAATACATACGCAAAATAGAGAGTTTTTATGGAACTGATATCAGTGAAATCAGTCGCTGATCTCATGACAAATCCAAGCATGCGAGAAGCCTTGTTGACCACCGAGTCGACGTGCTCATTAAATAAAAGTTTGCTATCAAAAGTCACCCCCAGATCTTTTATAGACGTGACTCTCTACAACAATTCCCCACCAATAAAATAATCAAAACTTATGGGATTAGCTTTCTTTGTAAATGTGATGGTAACACATTTACTAAAATTTAGGCTAATAAAATTTTAAACAACTATTAGCGACTAATGAATGTTTGCCTTGCTGCTTTACTAAAAATTTGTTTTTATAGACACTTACGATTAATGAAAACATATCAAAATCGAGGTTGTATCTTTTTGCGAATAGCTCGAAAATGGTGCCTAAAATGAAATAGGCTTATAGAATCAGTTGGAATATTAAAAAGCTTACGACATAATAAAATTTTTTTAAAGAAATAACCCTTATGGATACTTTGTATAGCATTGATCCCGTGGTTGCATATTTTGAATAGTGATCTTAAACGACTTCTCATGATAACATTGCACTGTTTCCCAAATTTTTTCTTTCTACGACAAATCACATTGAAAATATTATGCCACGACTTACAGAAACACCCTGTATAAGACTAAATTGCAAAAAACTGATTATTACAAATCATTAGATACTATATGAAGGGGTCGGGAAAAAAAAGTGCCAAGCATCATGTTTGTTGTTTTGAGATATAGCAAGTTGAAAGTTTGGCTAAATCCATAAATAACATTTTAGTGCAGACAACAAACCAAAGTTTTTTAATACAAAGGTCATGTATCTATATACCGTTAAAAGTGAAGATGTAGGTAAAAAAAACGCTATTATAAGATAAAAATGGTTGTATAGAAAAATATGCACTGAATAATGTTGCTTGGCATTTTTTCCCCAAAAATAAAAGACATTAGGTTTGTTTGTACTTTTATTAAAACACACACTGTCATCGACAAAAAATACTCTTAACCAAAAAGGTACTTTTCAAATAGGTCTATATTACCACAACATCTTCCTTTTGGTCATCTACTTCAGCGGAAGACTGTAGGCCATTGTAATATCCATGGTAGATGGGAGGAATGTATTGCATCAAGGATTTGACATCATCTAATTTTTTTTTATTGATTTTGTTGGGCGCATTTCTTTTTAAATGTAGTGCTGGAATAGAACTCCTTCCACGTTTCTTTAGGTTCAACACTAAAAACTCTTCGTTCATCAAGTGTTTGAGTTTCATTTGAAAAGGTTCTTCGCTGTCAAATTTAAAGCAAATAGCTTTGGAAAATCGTGGAGGAGTAACACCATCTGTACAAAACTTGCTTTTTGTGTTAAAGTAGGTCTCTTGCACCCTAGACAAATCGAGGAAATCCTCACTCATCATGCATGTTACGATGAAGTTCAGTGTTTTGTTCCACAATTTGCTACTATCTCTCTCCATTGCTTAGGACTGTACACATTTTGGCAGTGCTTGGTATGATACTTTTCTATTTTTGAAAAAAAGTCACGGTCTGATGGAAGATAAGTATGCCCAGTTATCAGGAAGTAATGTTCTATTGTTTCAAAACGTTTACTAGCTACAAGGTGTGACCAAAGCGACATTATGTTCCAATTTTTATTTTGTCCTCCGCAGTTGTCGGTAAATATTACCAACTTCTTTGCGTAGACATTTGCTACTAATAAGTACTTTACAATACAGCGTCCTATTTCATCACTACCCCTTTTTCCAACTGATTCATCCCACATGAACATAAAACCTTGTCCAGAAGTGCAGTTATGGATACAATGCAGGTCCACATGACAGTTTTGGTGTAGGGAGGGTTTGTTGCTAAATAATTCTTCATACAAGTCTTCTAGGTTTTCATAATAATCTTTAAGATTTCTAACACATTTCCTCTTTCCCTCCATTTCTCATGAGGAGCTTGACACTGTCTCACCAGTTGAGGTAATAAAATGCAATGCAAATACAGAGCAATCTAACGGCAATAATTGAAATCTAAACAGTGCTCCTTGTAATTTGTTCAATTTACTCATAGACAGCACTGCTAAATTCGGTGAGGCCAAAATGATGCTTGGCACTTTTTTCTCCCGACCCCTTCTATTGGCATAAGTCTAGATTCTGCTGAAGACTGCAAACTACAAAAATTATACAAAATCCGCAAAAAAAATAGAATGGTTTTTAGTATTTGTTGGTGAAAACCGTTTTAAATATCTGCTTTAGTGGACTCGTTGAATCGAAAATGATTTTCGTGGTGTAATCATGTTGTGATGAATTATTTGGTGTTTCGCGTGAGTTTAAAAATTCCACAAAAAACTTTTCAAATTTGTTTTGACACGCGAATATCGGCGTCTCAATAATTGTTTCAGCGATTGGTGGCACGTGTTGTGATCCCTTCCGAATCGGACAGGTTTCCACCCTTCCCCGGCTATATTGCATTCGTTCACGCCACCGAACGGGACATCAAACGACTTTTATGGACTCTGGGTCGACGTGCTTCGCCGCCATTACGGATTCCATTCGACTCGCTTCGTTCCCGTTGACTATCCGACACGATTTCCAACAATTTCCCGAATCCTATTTAATTACATCACGAACTATACTATTTTGTTAACTACCACGTTTATATCTAGGTTGGAATACTAAAGTTATTCCTAATTAACGGTTATTTTTGTTATTAGATCTTGATGTTAATATAGGTAATCGTAAATACGCAACAACAATTGTTGTTAAAAAGTTTTAAATCAAAAATAGTAGTTTAAAAAATAAATTCTAAAAGAGTTCGCCGTCAATTGAGTTAAACGGCGACCTCATAATTAGCTCTATCCGTTTTAGCGCCGCGGTAATTCTGAAAATTAGGTTTAGTAATAAGAGAGCCGGACGGACCATCGGCCCACGGCACTTATTGTTTCAAAATAACAACAGTCGACCCGCGTCCACTGTCCCCAACGTGTCCGTACGTGTGTTGCGAAGTGCAACGCGTTCGGTGACGAGGCAGATGTGCAATGAATTTCAAGTTGGTTTCAAATACACTTCCTAAAACCCTTAGTTTGCCCTTCTAACAAATAGATAGTGTACATTCCGTAAGATTGAACATAAATGAATCATTTTTAAATGTTCCATCTTATAATAATAATCCTAGAATAATCGAGATTGCTACGAGATGATTCGAGAAATTGTTAGATTTTTTTTCTTTAAATCTTTAGTCACGTTTTGGATGAATGTGTGGACGTTAGAAGACGATTACGTAGTCCCCCAGCGAATTCTTGGTGGAAAAAGCGTACAACCATGGAACGACGTCTGTTGGCGGTGACCGCATTTACGGGAGTCGCGATGTTCTCGTTGCTGGTGGTTCTGGTTGCATTACATTCAGGTCAGTACATCAGTCGTCTTGTCAAAAGGTAAAGAGCTCAGAATGGCCGGCGTTGATGAGCTTCATAATGGCCAGGGGAAAAAGAGGGCTCCTTTTGTATCCGTTACGTGCAAACAGGGCTTTCACAACGTCTACTTAGAAATTAGTATTACGGTCCTGAAATCAGTCTATAATGTTTGAAGCTAACAGGTTCTTTTGCTCTTTAATTTCGTAAATGTCCGAGGCTGAAATTAATAAAAAAAAGTTTTGAAACTGCAAATCCGGGTCGTTTCGTTACACTTTCCTTAGCTTCGTTTGCAGTTTTCGACCGTTTCAGCCGCCAAACTATCCCTGAACACGCCATGTAACGTTGAGGGGTGCTTTCAGTTTATGCACTTTGTATTCGAACGACCTTTACAATGTATGGAAAAGCGGGTCACTACACTCACTACGTCTCTAGAAAATTTAAAAGCATATGAATTATAATCTTATTTCTTACGATGAATAGTTTTGATATAAAACATAAAACTTAGTAATCACAAAGTTCGTCTTTTTATTTAGTTTCGTATCTCTCTATGTGCAATTGTTAATTACACAGACAAAGCTTAGCGAATTCAATTTCAAACAACAATTGCGATAAGCGAGGTGGGTTGTAAACGCGCGAGGTCACATGTAGACCGAAGAAAAACATTGAATAATTAACCGTGATTGGTCCGGGACGTGATGTTTGCGGTGATGCGATTATTGGGCCGGACAGGATGTTTGGTAAAACTTTAATAGCCTGATTAAATTCAAACGGGTTGCCTCTAATGTGTTGGTTTCCCATCAACTCGCAACTCATCACACATTTAAATAAAGTCCTTATCGATTTCTTAATTTAATCATTAATTTCTTTTAATGTTTAGATAATCTTGAAGCATGCTTATCATTGGATTGCGTAAAAACTTCTGCCGATATAACATATTATGTTGATAAATATCAAGATCCTTGTAATGATTTTTATCAATTTGCGTGTGGTGGATTTATAAAAGAATCGAGTTTAGAAGGTGAAAATAAATCGACTAGTACTAAAAAAGTGATGGAAGATATATTGGTGAATCAAATTAGAGAAATGATAGAGGAAAATATTACGAACACGGATTCGATTTCTTTGGCGAAAACGAAATTGTTCTATAGAAGCTGTATGAACGTAACCGGAACGGATTCCGACGGTGTAACGATATTGAAAGATAGTTTAAAGGAGATGGGAGGTTGGCCTATCTTAGATGTTAATTGGAAGAGTGGAGATTTCGAGTGGAAACGAGCAACCCAGAAATTAAGAAGGATCGGTTACACGTTCGATTTGTTCCTCGGCGTCAACGTAGTGGTGGATCAAGCGGATGAGGAGAAGCACATCGTTCAGGTAAGAAGTTGAATTAAGCGAAAGGTAATTCCGTAGAAGCTGATTGGAGCCTTGCGTTTGACAAGTCCTAATTTTCTCCCATTTAAACCCTGATTGCGTCGATTCGTTTTTGTCTCCGCAGTTGAAACCGCCCGACTCCCATCGTCTGGAAATGAACGATAGATTTCAGGATCTCCATTTGGCCTACGTGGTCGATATCGCCACTCTACTAGGATCCCCTAGAAATCGTGCAGAACGAGATGCGAAGGATATCGTTGAATTTCAGGAAGGCTTAAGAAGGGTAATTTTACGTTGATTGAAACGATTTGTTTCTACAATTTTTATTTAGGCTGTTGAAAGAAGTGAAGATCGGATATCTCAACATTCAAATAACGACCAAAATAACACTTACAATCCTAAGACGGTTTCCAAGTTGCATTACGAGGACCCGAGTGTGCCCTGGTTCGACTACATCAACAGTATGCTTTGGCCCGGTTCGAATATATCCGCTGAGGAGGTCATTCTCGCACCGGATGCTGTTTACATAAAGGAGCTGTTGACTTTACTCCATAAGGCACCGAAACGGTGAGTACAAACTTTGCGAGATTTCGTACTACATGTTGCTTTTATGTGCTTAAAAAAAAAATTTACATTTAAAAATAAAAACCCCAAATCCTACGCAAAGTAAACCCATTAGAAACGAGGAAACTTAGGTTTCCGTAATCGACGAAAGATGACGCACCATCTGCTACGCGAAATTACAATCTCGTGGAGAAGGGGACGCTCTTTCGAATTTTAAAACAATTACATAAAGCGTGTTATTAAGGTGGGGTGAGGTTAATTTCCGAGTTAACGCATCCGGTAACAAAATAAACTACCGGGTTTGTTTACAAGTTAACGTCGACCGTACTCTTTAGTATTCCCATCGAAACGTCTCCACTAATTTGATATAATTATCGCACGCCGCGTAAAAGGGGGACAAAGCGTCTACCACTTTTCGTTCCGTTGCAGGGTAATAGCTAATTTCATGGGGTGGCGATTCGTCGACGATTTAATAGAGTATTTGCCGAAGAAGTTCAGGAACGAGAAAATTAGGTACTATTATTTAACCAAAAGAGCTCCACTACCACCCAAATGGGAACTCTGCCTCCGAGCAACCGTTAACGTGTAAGCAAACTTATCCGTTGTTTGCCCTTCTTTCCTCATCAATCCTTATCTGCTTAGAATGCCATTTTCTCTGAAGGATCTCTACTCCCATAAGTTCATTACTCCCGAATCAAGGCGATTTATAGACGACATGCTCGACTTGATTAGGCGGAACTTCGACAAACAGATCGACCGCTTCGACTGGCTGGACCCAGAAGCTTTAAACGCCGCTAAAATTAAGATTGCTAGTCTTTTGCGATCGATTGCTGACTACAGCGAAGTTAAAATTGACGATTTCGCTGATGAAATCTACGATGATGTTAGTCTAAAACTCAATTTCATAAAACCCAATTAATATTTGAATTACATTTCAGGTAGAAATCCACCAAAATAAATTTCTTTTATCCTTACTGGAATTAAGGAGAGCCAAGAAAACTTTGCAATACAAAAAATTACGTTTCAAACCAACTCAACAAATACCCCACCAAAATTTTGGAATGTACGATATTAAAAATAACCAATTAGGTAAATGGTGAAATTATTTTTTTGTAAAATTTTAATTTGTGATAATTTCAGCAATTCCCGTTGATTACTTGCACGGAATATATTATGGAGATGGAAAACCTGAATACATGAATTTTGGGGGTTTGGGGAGTCTGATAGCTGGGGACCTAGCGAATATGTTCCTAGAGGGGCAGTTTCTGGACGCGCGTGGGAACAGGCGCGAATGGTTCATAACCGAGAACCTCTATGTGTACATCAACAGAACCAAATGCTTTGGCAAACATCGAGTCAAGTTCTACGTACCGGAAATTAAACGATATGTATGTGACATAGTAAAACAATTCGAGTAGAAATTAATGTATAATTAAGGATAAAGTGCATCCTCTGAAGCTCAAAATTTAACTTTTTGAATATTTGTAGAAAGCCATCTTAAATAATTTAATATCCTTCTTTTATTTGAGAAAGTAAAACACTTCAATTGATAGGGATGATAACATAACTCATTCATTCCTACTCTTAATTGCTTGGGTCGGTTGGAAAACTTAAAAATGCAAGGAGAATTAGACCAACCACTCCAGTTCCCAGAGGCTGTGGCTTTTAATATTAGCGCCCGCACCGTAGCTTAATTGAACTACTTTACCCTCAAGGGTTAATACTTCCCAGGGTTGCCTCGGTGGTCATTACGAGACATCGCGGCTGAAAAATTATCAAAAAAAAACACTCCTCTTTGGTTCAATCTTCAATAAAGATAGAACTAAAAGGAAAAAATCTATATCTAAGGTTTTATTTCTGAGAATTTTTTTAATCCTCTTATGATAAATAAAGCGGGATAATCTTACTATATTATAATTATTATCCCGATTAAATACAAACGAGAGCATGGAAAAAGGGGAATTTCGAGGAAGACAAATTCGAACTTGCTCCCGGACGTATTAAGCGTGAAGTGGGTTGGAAAATTCGCGGTTCGCATGAATGATACATTACTTCTGGGATCTAACTTTCAAATATATTGACATATATTACTTGCGAACACCGCGGGCTTCCTTCTGTGTGCGAAGGGGCCACTTTCCGGCGTTCCCGCAATAAAACCCGGTCTTTATCCAACCAGGCGCGGACACCCCTACATTGAATATTAGATGGTCGAAATATATATTTTATCCTTCCACACCGCTAGCCGGCAACCGGCATAAACGTAAACTTATCTCCTCGACAGTAACTGTATACTATTACCTTCCTAAATGGTTTACGATACGGCCTCGGGAAGTGGCGCGGGGAACTTTTAAGAAACCCTCCTTCAAAAAGCTCAACGACTTTTTTATGTGTTAGACTTAAGATTTTCTTCGATAAGATCCCTTATTTAAACCTATCTTAAATGAACTTCCTGTTTAAGTCATTCATGACAATAGAGAAAAAGTTTTTATCTTTTTTATATACCGTGTACAAAGTGATTATAAAAGTTGATTAATCAGGAATTTTATGATTTTATCGTAATGAAACTACTTCATAGATAGGGGTTGGATACGAAACGTGGGATACGTGAGGTCGTCTTTCGTCGCTGGTGGCAGTTCGCTCATTAACACTACCTCTTCTATTGTCCGCACGATGCCGGGTTGTCAAATATATCGCATTTACGAGAGGGCTTCGCAAAAAGCGCGAACAGGACCGGCTTAGGCGGTCGCAACACACACCAAGACATAAACGTCCCCGGATTAAATGCAGCCGCTTAAGCGACCCAGATTTATACGACCATTTCGCCACGGAATTAAACAACAGTGTCGGACGAGGGCGGACCTTCATTGTATCCCGACATTTTTAGAGGGCCATTCGCAGACAATGCGCAGGATGAAATTAACTTTATCGTTCAGTTATTAAGTACGACTCGCGTCCCTAACACACATCAAAGTTTGTGTAAATGTTAACTTAGTTATGTTTTTATTGTATAGGTAAACGTGTCTTGTTCGAAAATGGAAGATGTTTCAATGGCTGCTGGATTCAGGTATGCTCACAGAGCGTACACCGCGTGGGTGGACGGACATAGTTTCGAACCGGGGCTGCCAGGGATCGAGTACGACCCCAAGCAACTGTTTTGGATAGCTGCAGTGATGCCGTACTGCTCCAAAGGGACCGAAGAGGAAGTGGAGCGAACGTTGCAGGAGAACAAAGAGACCATCGATAAAATTAAGGTGAACTACGCGCTTAGGAACTTACCAGAGTTCGCGGAAGCTTTTGAGTGCCCTGACGGCACAAAGATGAATCCCGTAGAGAAGTGCGAAATGTGGTAGAATTAAACAGTCTTTTTTATCTTAATAACAAAATAAAATTATTTTAACACAATTTTAATCTCTTTCATTTGATCTGAAAAAAAAATATTAAGCGGTTATTACTTTTCCGGATATAAAAGGTGAGGACAATGAGGTTGAATGCCGTTGCTTTTGGCCTTTTAAAAACGACGAAACTTAATTGCGCCGCCTTTCCGGTCACTTCCCCAGGACAAAAGCCAAAAAGTTCCGTCCCGCTGAATTATTTTAATTGCCCGGCTTGCGACGTTTCCTTTTTGCGCGATACCCGAAAAAATACTCCGGGGCGATTCTGGAAATACGAAAAAGGGGCGAGAAAAAGAAAGCCACCCGGGTCGTTATTACCTTCACGAAGTTTGACGGTTCGCCTCGCCAAGTTACTCCTGGAAATGGCCTGGCGAGTTTTTGCCAAAAACCCATCCCGGTTAATTGAAAAGTCCGCTTTCCAGCGAGTGAATTAGGACGCGTTTTGCATCCGTCATAAATCCCGCAATTGGGTACCAGCAGCACCATCTGCCGTTGTTTGCGCAATGGTTGTCGCATCGCCGCTGTTTATGTTTGGCCCTAACTTCGACTGCGACGTATTTCAAGCTACTGCCTACGACTGACCAACCACCCGCTGATATTTCAGCCCAATTTGCTTTTAGCACTAACTGTCTCATCGCATCCTGTACCGTACATTCAAATTTAATACCCTAAATTAATAACGATTACAAATGAATGAAAGATACACCTCGTAAAACGTTGTTGCACGAAATATGTGTGAGGTGCTCACATACTGGCAACCCGTCGAGCACGAAACTCAATAACGCTTGATTAATTTACATATTAATTGGTTGGGGCTTGGCGATTTCTCGGACACACCGTAATTGTTACAGTCGGTTACAGAATCACACTGGCAAACGGCGTTAATTATTAACACAACCAGGGCGGAACTTTTCAACTAAACGCCGAGGAGTAATTGGAATTATTCTACAGCACGCTTGTGTACGTACAGATACTAATAGCAACCGCAATGCAATAATAAAACCGAACCGTTACATATCAAGGCAATAACCCTCACAACATTCCTACTTCAACATTTCATTAAATTAATAACACCGATATCGATAGATTTGCAATTCAAGCGGACGATAAAGCTTCAAATTGCATTTTAATTAAACGCTTAATCTAATCTCTCTCTCTCTCGTAGTTACACTTCTATCTAAATAAGTTTGTTCGACATCGATCGCAAAGCTAACGCAACTTGAACCATCATTCAAACTTAACGTCTTGTACGTGACTACATCACAGTGTCTTTCGAACAAACAAAAATAAACCTTGATAACGGGGAAAGTTGGCAAAGAGGAAATTAAAAAGAGGTTAAAGAAAAGTTTTTGACCACTAATAAAATTTTGTCTCAATGAAAATTGGATTTATTTTATGATTCATTTAATATCAAAAGGTTTATCCGTTTACAATAAGAACTTTAATACTTTTAATTTTTTTATTAAAACAACACTGAAACACTTCTTCAATTTTTGTCTCCCCATTATTACGAGCGTCGGGATTTTTCTGACCTGGTATCAGTACTAAAGAAATTTTGTTATGATACACATTTTTATTGGTTGTTGTGGTGGACAAACATCATCTTTGTACCAAACCTCACTGTACTGGAATCGTCCACTAGATTTTAGAAACGATATCCAACTTTTGGATACTGCAACCAATTGCTATGGATGTTGCATGCAACAACTGAATACTGAAATCATCTACTATATATCGGAATCAACTACTAAATTCTGGTTCTAATTAAGATAGTAATTGTATCTGAAACTTCTGGATGTTGGAACCAATTCCTGCACCCAGCAACTGAATCCTGGAATCATTTGCTGAATACTGGAATTAACCACTAAACACTGGAATCATTTGCTGAAAACTGGAATCATCTATAAAAAAGAAAATTATTTTCAGTCTGTATCTGGTTTGGAAAGAAGTGAGCTGCGTGTTTTCAACAACACCAGTCTCAATGTATTCGTTATATGGGACTTTTACAAGTTCCTCTGTCTTTTTTTCTGATTTTGTTTAAAAATCTATTTTTTTTTTGGTTTAATAAGAAATTAACTAAGAAAATGAAATAGTTTAAGATCCATAATTTTCGCCTTTATCCTAACTAGTTTATTATGATTGTTCTGATTCTAAGTAATACTTAACCAAACCGGCGCCTCCGCCAAAATTTGGATTATATTCGAATTCGTCCCTAAACTTCGTAATACCCCTCGTTTATCGCTTTACATACGGATTTGTTAATGCAGTCGTTGTAGTATTATTAACGTGTTCTGTAATGGAAAGTTAACCAAGCTAGTCGGATTATAATCATACGTACAGTCTGGTCAAATTTCAACTAAACTAATACATTTCATTTAATTAACTTCAACAAATAACACATAGATATAAATAAAATAATTGTGCATATAGTCAAAAGCGTAAAACAAAATAAAGAGGGAACGTTCATTGTTCTCATTAAACGGTGGCACCCGAAGCTGAGTTTCTGTAATGAAATGAAATGTTAGCACACTTCCGCGTATAACCACTATTAACTATCAACTCTATGTACATTCTGGGTAGCGGATATCAGCATAAGTAAGTGGGTTTCGAGCCCGTATTCGTAGCTGTTACACATAGCAGCCAGGCCGGACCTCGTCGAGGTATAGTAGCAGCAATTTGCCACTAATTTTCGCCAGCATAACTACACGTTCAGAGATGCTAAAACAACTAACTCCGCTTCCAGCAGACGATTTTCTTTCATTATCGCGCTATAATCAAATTAAGTCGTCGGCGCCGCAGTGGTTTTTGTTAAAACGAAAAAGGGAATTAATGATGGTGCCGTAACCGTAAACCCAAATAACATATCTGGCTTAAGAAGGGCGTTGGAACGTCGAGGCCGTGATCACTATTATTGTCGGGGTTACGGTCGTTATCGGTCCCTTCCTGCAGGACATAGCAGACCAGCTATGACCTCTTAATTGACCCCTAGACAACCGTTCCACCAACGAGGAAAAAGGCGATTCCGTACTTAAGAAATACTACTTTTTTTCTCCTTCTCTATTTTATTACAACGCTATCTACCCCCGGAATTGTATAAATTAAGATAAACAGGTAATAAATCATAGGGGTCCATGCAAACGGTATACAAAGGGGATGTACAGCAAACGACTTGTAATTACTCGAGTGGTAAATATAGGCGAAGCACGCTCGGTATACAATGTTTGAATTGAATAGTAAGATAAAAAAAAATATCACACGCAAACCTTACTTAAACCGCCAACTATATTTATTAACATAACACCAGGCTTATTGTGCATATTTGCATACAAATAATGCAATTCACTTTAACATTTTTTTTTTTTAACTTTTTTATTTAACGGAAAATCGGTTCGTTCAATGTAACAAAAAGTTTCGGTCGTAATTGCGATATCGGGGCGCCGATTGGGGAATCGAGACGTCCGGAAATTTCGGCGCTTTAAATAATTTATCGCGTTAAAAGGCGAAAAGTTCTCTCATAACGGCCGCCCCGCAAACCGTTTTAATTGAAATACGATTCGGACGTACGCGCGTTCTTAGATGTTAAACTATTAAAACGCCCGGATAACCGTATCTCAACGACTTCCCGTTAGCGCCGATTTGATTTTATATTGCAGAATTATCGGCGAAGCTATTAAAACGGGCGCTACGACGGTGAAATAGTTGCTTGATTGAAATTCCAACCGCCAAAGAACGTGAGAGGCGTCTTAAAATCTAATAAGATGGACCGAATTTTCAAATTAAAATGTTTCAAAATATGCTTAAAATTAGAAATAATAATAATAAGAGATGATTAATTGGATAATTAATTTTATATGTTATTCTAACGTGGATATAGCATCCCCTTTCAGCTCCCCACCACACCTGTCACCGCAGGACGGGATCTCCGAGATCGACACACAAAAGCAATTAACTGTTTACGCACGAACAATTGGCTAGGCGAGATTCCATTAATTGGACCAAGCGAATTTGTAACAGTTTGTATCTATCCTAATTTAGACGACATTCTATAATCAACGATTTTTTTGTTATATTAGATCTATGATACACATAAATCAATGTACTTAATGGCTTAGCAGGTATGGGTTTGTTAAAATTTGTTAAAACTGTTTTTTTTTTACAGTTCTAGTTTTTGTTGTAACTACATTTCCATTAGCAGTATTTAAAGTTCTGCCAATAGTGTAGAGCCTTTTGCCACCAGTGTTTAGTCTTCTATAAGAAAGATTATAACCCATGGGAAGTATTTAGTGTGCTGTCAACAGTATCTAGGCTTCTGTCACAAGTATCTAGTTTTCTTCCAGTAGTATCTAGTCATATACAATAACAATCTGGTTTTGGTTGTCGTCATGTGGGCAATCAAAATGCCATCTTTCTTTGAGTTGTAATTATTGGTTTTGGCCGTATCTAGTCTTCTATTAGCAATATCTAATCTTCTGGCAGCAGTATTTGGTCTTCAATCAGTAGCATTTAGCCTTCTGCCAGTAGCATCTAGTCTTCTATAAGCAGTGTTTAATGTAGAGATCAATAATTTTTGTAAAATATATATTTTTGGATGTGGGGAAAGTTAATTTAGAATCGAGATTATTGCAATGAGGAACGTATTGCAATTAAACGGAGGCGCAAGCAAATGTGGCGGAAACTACGCTACAGAAATACATCAATTCGAAGGGAAACGGTTGTTTTACTGCTGTAGGTGGTAATGTAGCAGATGTTCCGTTTAGTTGTTACGCGGTCGAACTGGGTTATAATTCATTTGCACCGGAATAAAACCCAATACCATTCCACAGTTCTGGTCAAAATATTATTACTTACCACTGATGTTTCAAGACCATATAGAAACGTGAACATTTCCAACGAACTAAAATAAAGTTAATAAAGGATTAAAAAAAATTTAAAATGTGGGAAAGATTTCCGTTTTAGCTTTTGGAGAGCACGCAACGCAATTAATCGATTAATAATTTGTCTAGAGCGCGG